TACAGAGCAGCTGACAGGGGCACACACACCACAAGAAGAGACGGGCAACATGAGGATAGTCAAGGTCTACTACATTACATATTATTAGAAAACAACATTTTACTTATTTAAACCACTGATATGTATTAAAGTCGTTTTTCATTCCCGATGTTAAACATGGCTGTAAATACAGTGATGGAGGACCATCATTAGTGATTTTCTGGCAGCAAACAATTTGTACACTCTAGTATTAAAATCAGGTGTCTATCCCTTGAGCTAAAGAAATGATAGCACCTTATTCCAAAAATCTTACTAATGGTGTAGTTGCTAAAGTGCAAGAACCATATTTAAGACCAATTATCCTCGAGTAGAATACAAACCTGGCACATGTAGCATCTAAAATAATTTAACTTAATTTTTCATCTGCTTCAACTAAGCAAATCTTGTGTGCCGTTCAATCACAACAGAAGTCATTTAAGGTTACCTTTCATATAGAATAGGTCTATACATTGTCCTTTTATTAAAGAAACTAAATAGCCTTATGTTATTTATCTTATTTACACAACAGCTTGTCATTTTTGTCCCTACACGGTCCCGCGTTTACAATTCTCCTCTGCTCTTTCTATGGCGTTTGGCGGAGTTCCGCACCGATGCACGCGCACAGACACGTGCGTGCACACACAGGTGAGCACACTCCCACTAGTGGACAGAGAGCGCGTGTCGGAAAATACGTCGCGTTAACCACCTGAAAAGCAGACAAAAATATCTGTGTTTTTTTAAACTGTAAACTGTGAGAGTAACTTCTCAACCATGAACAGGGTAATAAATACGTTTCACAATGGGATTTTCCGCTTTAAGCTATCACTATTTTAAGCTTTCAGCTATCACTTTTAAAGCCTAACAATTAATGTATTTACAGGTCAAGACAAACATCCGCAATCGGGCTTTGTCAGCTGACGTCACACTCGCTATAACCGCAGTGTATTATGGGTCAAATCGCCCCTGTTGTCATTAAAAGAAACACATGAACACCATGAATCCAGTCGGTGTCCGTCTAACTCAGCCCCCCCAAAAAAGCTGTAAACCTACGGGAAACACTGCATGTTCAAACTCCAATCCAAAATTTATGAAAAATGTTTTATTCATGTCGCCTTCGAGTTTCGAAGGCTCCTTTCTGAATCAACCTTCCACGGACCCCCGACCACAGCATCTACAGGTGCATTAAACATTAACAAGCTGTGTGGCCCTAAAGAAGGGCTGGCCAACCCTGCTGCTGCAGATCTACCACCCTGCAGAGATGAGGTGCATATGGGCTGATATGTGTGCCACTAGAAACTGAATATGAATAGTGTATATTTGAATCTGCAGTTGTTGCATTAAAAAACGGAATCTGAATTTATTAGTTTGAATCTTAATTCCAATAACTTGAAACTGCATTTATCATACCTAGAAAATGTTCAGTTTACAAATTCAATTTCAATTTATTGAGACGCACATCCAGGTCCGTGAGGAAAAGTAATCGACCACAGGTTCACAACGCAACTCATTTCCACGTTTACAACAATTCTGCAGGTCTGGGTAAAGTGCAAGCATGTGCCGGCCCTGCCGGGGTGTCGCAAGCGTAAATGCGGGATCATATACGCAGTCATCATATACGTAATAAGAATTAAGCAGTACCGGCACTGCTATACTTTAATCTTTATCGTACTAACACTCACAAGTTGCCAGTGCGTCACACAAGAGTGGCGGGGCAGAGTGCGCCGTACCGACAGTCTTGTTGAGGCGCTTCTGTTGTTCCCAACACCCCCACTGCACCCCCGCCGCAGTTCTCACGGTCAATACAGTAGCGACACTTTTATTTCTCCACTTCGAGCACTGCTTATACAGATCACCATATTAGCACAGTACACAGAGAGCGCTGTAGACATGCAGCAGGCCAGAAGCTTAGCACTTCAAACCCACTTGATAACTTTACATTTAGATCGATACGGGGGGTATGTGTATCGATGCACTCGTGTTGTGTTTTTTTCTTCCCCGCCAATCAGGAGTCAGGAGCCACTTATGTCGATCTTCAGATTCAGCCTTTATTGCAACAGTGAGGTTACAGCCAAGGCTGGACGCCCTGCAGGAGCGTGTCCAATACTGTTTTACACTAATTTTTATACATTTTCTTATTGTGTAACAATATCTCGACACTTAAGCATCATCATTTCTTCAACCATTCACCATTGTTGTTTTCTCCATTGATCCACACCTCTAGGTGATACGTTTGTCAATCATCTCTTTTACAGTTTGGTCCCTCGGCTGAACATAATGCTGACGTGACCATTTCTAGTTGTTTTTTTTTAAATACTCAGCCGTGTACTTTTGATGAACTCAGGCGAATCCCTTACTTCAGTAGCAAACCTTGGCAACTTCAGCTTGTTGCACATTGTCTGGCTAGTGTCACGCCCCGCTCCGTCCGCTCCTAGTGTGTGCCACGCCCCCTCATTATCCACGTGTGTTTCCCCGATTGTGCCCAGCTGTTTCCTGTTTCGTTTGCCATGTCTTGTGTATTTAGTCTTCGTCTGAGTCTGTCTTCGCCAGACTCACCATTAATGTTGCCTATCGTGCTTCCCCGGTCCTGTTTTCCAAATAAATCCCCTTTGTTCCTGATTTCCTGGCTCCGATCGCTTGCTTACCTGCACCGCTCGCCCGCGATCGTGACAGCTAGAGGGTTAATAATATATTTGTCCTTCAAGATAGTGATAAGCTGCAGCACTAATAAAGTACATACAGTATACATCAAAGGCTAACAAAATAGCTAACAGATACAGAAACGTCTAAGCCAACACAAGGTGCCAATTCATACTTGTTTTTCGTCACATTGTGCACAGGAGTAATTGGTCTGCATTCTCTGAAGGTTACAAAGTCATTCTCTGCACAGATTACATCTGCTACTTATAGAGTCCTAATGATTACATTCTCTATGCATTATGAAGTGTTAAATAATATTCCATACTCGCATATTAGAAATTAATACTGATTTCCACCTCCTATCAGCGAGATGAATATTTTTATTATTAATATTTATTATCTCCGCACTACTTATTTATTACCTCTGCACTATTTATTTACTGCCTGTTTGCACCTTGCACGCCCTGTTACTGTAATGTTAAGTGTACTATATGTTGCACCGGGGCCATGGAGAAACGTTGTTTCATCACTCTTTGTACATATATGAAGCTGATGATGACAATAAAGTAACCTTGAACCTTGAAAAGATATTTAGCATAAACACTACTAGAAAGCCACATGAGATGAACAGGCGATCTATAACTTAAACTAAACTAGAAGTAAAATTCATATCCCTAGCTAGTTTTGCATTAGTCTACCACATAAACTAGCAGTGCCAGAAATCGTTCATTTAACCACATGTACTACCATACTAACCAGACCAACGGTTAATGTTTATGCTATCTGTGTATATAAAGCTTATTCTCATATATATCCTAAGGTAATGCTCTTGCGACATCCCGGCACACGCCTCCACTTTACCCCAAGCTGCAGAACTGTCGTAAACGTGGAAATGAGTTGCGTTGTGAACCTGCAATTTTTCTCAAGGAGCCGGATGTGCTTCTCAATAAATTGAAATTGAATTTGCAAACTGAAAATTTTCCAGGTAGGATATATGCAGTTTCAAGTTATTGGAATTCAGATTCAAATGAATAAATTCAGTAAATTCAGTTCCAGTTTTTTAATGCAACAACTGCAAATTCAAATATACAGTATTCATATTCAGTTTATAGTGGCACAAATATCAGCCCATAGGTGCAGCTCTAATTTAACACACCTGATACAGATAATCAGGCCCTTCTCTAGCATCTCAGTATTAATAGGGGCTTCAGTGAGCCTGCTTTGCTTTTAGAAGAGTTTTGGTCAGCATTAGTTGGCATTAGAGCACAGAGAGGACAATGTACAGTGGTACCTCAGAACTCGAATTTAATCCATTCAGAACTCCAGATCGAATTGTGATGGAATTTTCCCCATAAGAAATAATGGAAAACCAATTAATTGGTTCCCACCCCCAAAAAAATACACCTAAATATGTTTTTTTTTAGCATCTAAACACAAAATGAACAGGATAACACAAGAAGAGCATATACTGTACTAAACACATCTAAGCATATAAATACATCCAAACAATGTATAAAGTTAAAAAAAACAATGTGTCCTGCCCCGATCATCCGCTCCTTCCGTGTCCCACGCCCCCTTGTTAACCCCATGTGGAATCCCTGTGTGATCAGCTGTTTCTGGTTGTTGTCATTAGTGCTCTGTATTTAGTCCGCGTTTCAGTTTGTTTCCCCAGTCCGGTCATTGTATTGTCCGTCTGCGTTTTGCCTGCGTTACCTGTAATTAAACCCCATATTCCCCGATACCCTGATGTCTGCGCCTTTGTCTCCGTTCCATCCCCGCTCAGCACGACAATATTATTATAATTAAATGTATTCATGGTTTATGATTAATATTAAAATAATTAATCATAAATATTTATTTTTAAATGTATTTTATTATATAATAATTTCTGTTACTGTCTATCATTGTCTAAATGTATTTTACTGTCTAAATATATGTATTCAGCTCGTGTAAACATGCAGGATGCTATCACAGCGAATGCGGCGCTTAGACTGAAGCGTTACCCTATGTTTCGCTGAGAGATGTGCCGCGTGACTCATTTCCCCGCGCGTACAAGTTATCTTAGGTTGGCGTTCATGGTTTGACTTCTGAGATTCAGATCGAGTTCTAGGTATTTGTTTTTTTCTAACTGGTTGATTCGACTTCTAAGAAATTCGAGTTCTAATGAGTTTGAGAACTGAGGTACCACTGTACAACATTTCATAATCTATCACTGCCAGTTTCTACCACATTCAGTTCCAGGTTTCTGTCTGAATATGCAAGGATCTTTTTTTCCAGGAAGGAATTGAATATTGATCATGTTACATCGGTGTACATTTAAATTCAGCTGATGCTCTCTATTATAGGCTTTGGGAACATCTCTCCACACACTGAAGGGGGAAAGATATTCTGCATTATCTATGCTTTGTTGGGCATCCCTCTCTTTGGTTTCCTGCTGGCTGGGGTTGGAGACCAGCTGGGCACCATCTTTGGAAAAGGAATAGCTAAAGTCGAGAAGATGTTTGTGGTGAGTGAAGTGTTTCTGATACAGATACCTTCATAATGCATTATAATGATCGGTATAGGAATTAATAAAGCATTACAGCATCTTCTATTGATAGTCATAAAGCATTATAGTGTTGATTATAATACTTCATAAGTTGCAATGAAGCTCACGTCTATAATGCACTACAAATGCCTTCATAATCCATTATAATGATTGGTATAAGAATTAAGGATGCTATGTACTGCATTATGAATGTATCTATAGTGCATTATAGATGAGGGCTTCATGAAGCACTCATAATGCATAATAAACATGGCCGTGGATGTTGTTAGGTCTGATCACTCGGGGCTATAAGCCCAAGCATTTTAGCCCCGATGCTAATCTTTCTTCAAAAAAACGTCAAACCCCAGATAAATGTGACTAGGCCCCTGATCTTCTCAATAGCTAGAAACAGCTCTGAACATGACTATTGTCACGCCCAGCTCCGTCCAATCCTAATGTGTGCCACGCCCACCTCGTTACCTCCTGTTTCGGCCTGATTGTTCTCACCTGTTGCTCGTTACCCTTAGCTTGTCTTTTGTATTTAGTTCTCGTCAGTCTTCCCCAGACTTGTCATTGATGTTCGCTGTCGTGCTTCCCCGGTCCTGTTTAACTTTAATAAATCCCCGTTGTTACCCGACTTCCTGGCTCCTCTCCCCTGCTTGCCTGAGCTCAGGTGCCAGATCGTGACAGAATGACAAGTCTCTTTAACAAGCTCAGCGCTACCGGGGAGGTTCTCCCCA